GCCCTTGCAACAACATGCTCAGGCTTAAATTTTCTGTTACCATGGCAACGAGGGGACATCTCAAAATTGCCAAAAATCACTATTTTGCGTTGATTTTTTCCATCATAATTGATTTCAAAGTGCTGCAACTTCTCAATGGATTGAGATAGAGTCAAATGCTTTTCAGCGTTGGTTACACGTTACCTTATGATCAATCTGAGGTCATTTATAGCCTCTCACAAGTCCAAAATTTTCTTGGCGAGGAGGGGGACTCCGCCCCCTTCAAACCCCCCAAACAGAAGGGGGCACATCCCCCTTCTGGCAACCCCCTGATGTATCTTTTGGTTGGGGGGGCCGCGCCGAAAAACTGGTCACTTTTTTTAACAACATTTCTCAAACAAAAAACAAGTGTTGGGGGCCTAAATAAGGCATTTTTTACCATTTGAGACAACAAAAGGGGGGGGGTGAAAAAGGCGTTAAAAGGCGTGTATATGAAGTAATGGGTTAACAGAAAATGATGAAAATACTTGAAATTACCCTAAATCGAGTTTTTCCATGTTTAAACATGGCCTGTCATATAAATTTGAAGAAAAATTGTTGTTTTGTAGATTTTTTTATTTTTTTCATTAACCCATTACTTCATGAGCATTTTTGTGAAAAATGGCTGTTTTCATTGAAAAGTCTCCCGTTACAAGTTCAAATTGCTATAATACTATAAAAACTGCTTCAACACTAATCAAACTTGGCACAAATGTTGACTGGACCATTGCCCTTGCAACAACATGCTCAGGCTTAAATTTTCTGTTACCATGGCAACGAGGGGACATCTCAAAATTGCCAAAAATCACTATTTTGCGTTGATTTTTTCCATCATAATTGATTTCAAAGTGCTGCAACTTCTCAATGGATTGAGATAGAGTCAAATGCTTTTCAGCGTTGGTTACACGTTACCTTATGATCAATCTGAGGTCATTTATAGCCTCTCACAAGTCCAAAATTTTCTTGGCGAGGAGGGGGACTCCGCCCCCCTTCAAACCCCCCAAACAGAAGGGGGCACATCCCCCTTCTGGCAACCCCCTGATGTATCTTTTGGTTGGGGGGCCGCGCCGAAAAACTGGTCACTTTTTTTAACAACATTTCTCAAACAAAAACAAGTGTTGGGGGCCTAAATAAGGCATTTTTTTACCATTTGAGACAACAAAAAGGGGGGGGGGGTGAAAAAGGCGTTAAAAGGCGTGTATATGAAGTAATGGGTTAAGTGACATTAAGTCCTGGTCGGATAGAAATTTAGTATATCTATGTAAGTGCTGTGCATTCCGTGGATCGGATTATGATGCTGAAGGTGCTCTTACGAGGTAAGTACAAGTTTTATTATACTCTTGGTGAATGTCTTACCACTAGAAAATGTGAATTAAATTTAATAATAGTAACTTGTAAATTATTTCTTGAACCTTTTTACTTTGCCTAAAAGCTTAGTACATCATCTGGAGGCATGTTAATGCATGATATAGTGGCAAGACAATCGTTAAGATTTATCATATATGAATATAGAAATTTATAATCAACATTATTTTCTAAATGTAATCCGAAGAAGAAGAAGAAGACATATTATATCTGTTGATGTATTCTATACTTGAACACATTCTATTACTAACTTACGTAATTTATGCGCAGAACCTGAAAATTAAATGGCACATATAACAAAAAATATTTTAATATGTAAAAAGCTTTATTGATAAACAAATTGACAATATAAATCTGGATTTCTTTCGTAATATATGTTGGGCCCTTAAAAGGGCCGTTTTTATCAACAATACTTTAATATGTTTTTAAGCTACACAAAACTCTGCGTAGTTTGCACTGATATTTGTGCAATATGCCGTTATTACCCGGTTATTACATCACCGTTTGTAAATATAATTAAATTTAAGTTTAAATGACATTTCAATATCATAAATAATACCTCAAATAATCAATCAGTTAAATACATCCAACTATTGTGTAAATATATTAACACCTCTTTAAATGTGATAATCAGCGTGTGTCCGTTAAATTTTATCAGCGTGTGCCTGTGTAATAAACGAGGCGTGAAGTGTGCCTTGATTGATTTCAATATCATACTTATTTTTCAATTATGTATGTATATATGTTTGCTAAGTTCTGTTTTATATCTGCTTATTTGGTTCTTAGTAATTAGTTTCGTTTATTTTTATTTATTGCACTGTTTATTGTCAAAAATAAAAAAACATCACTGAAACAATTATTGTTATTCTCTTCCTGCTATTTTGAATCCTCTTGTCTTCCACATAGCCTACAACAAATAAATATATTAATATATTAGACAAGGTACATACATTTTAAATATTTATATACCATCGGTATGTCTGAGGTAAGAGGACCAGTGCTTTTCGGTGATGTATTACTATTATTTTCTTCACAGGACCGGAAAGCAATAATGGAATGTGCAGGACCGGAAAGCACTCGATATATCTATTTTAAACTTTTTTATTCGTAATAATAATTATAAAAAAATAATGTCTGGGAGATTTTTTCCTAATAAATCTATTGGTAACGTTTTCAATTCAATACAATGAAGGTTGTACGTTTTTTTATGGAAAATTCGAGTGCTATTCGGTAATGTACATATACTTAACAAAACCGGAAAGCATTCTCAATTTATTTAACATTCATAAATCTTTTAAATAATCATAGAATTTAGAATAAAACATGAAATAACACTGTATCATACCTAATAATCGATTGGTAACATTTACAATACAATAAAACAAAGATCTTATGTGATTGTTTGAGAAATTAAATTGCTATTCGGTAAAGTATATGTAACTTCACAGGACCGGAAAGCACTCGATATATCAGTTTTCCTAAATACTCGTAATAATTATCATTATATATTTATAAAAACATGTTGTCTGAAAGATTTTGATCTAATAAATTGATTGGTAACACTTTCAAACCAATAAAATGAAGTTTTCATGTATTACTTTGATAAACTATATTGCTATTCGGTAAAGTACATGTACCTTAGCAGGACCGGAAAGCACTCGATATATCTTATTTTCCTAAATAATCGTAAAAATAATCATAATATAATTACAACAAGAGCTGTCCGTAAGACAGCGCGCTCGACTTTTTTATTGCTTGCCAATAAAAAAAGTTTTTGCAGTAAAAGGCAATACAAGAATCTCTGTATTTTTAAAGTGAACTAGTTGTTTGATACCCTTGAATATTACAGCAATGTTTATATGACATAATTTATGGTAAAGTGAACAAGTGGATAGGAATGAATTTTTTTAGATTTTTTAAGTTTTTTAGTGCTTGCCTATAATACAAAACATTGACAGTTAAGGGCCATAATTCAAATAAAATCTTTGACAGAATTACCTTCTCCTGGACATGTTTGGGAATCATGATTGTAAACAAGTATTCCAACTTTCAAATTAATATCTCAAACAGTTCAGTCAAAAAGTGGACTGGTACTAAAAACTTAACCAAGATTCTAAGTCGATAAAAGGCCTTAATTTTTAAAACAAATCCTTGACAGAGTTACCTTCTCTTGCGTACAGATGGGGGTAATGATGTGAAATAGCATTAAAAGTTTCAAAGCAATATCTCAAAGGGTTAAGGCAATAAGTGGATTTTACCCATATTCAATGTATTTTCTAAGTCAAAAAGGGGCATAATTCTGTCAAAAACCTTGACAGAGTTATGTCCTCTTGTCTGTTGATGAAGGTCGTGATGGTAAACAAGTATGGTCAGTTTCAAAGCAATACCTCCAATGGTTTTGAAATAAAGTGAGGTGGTACAAAAAACTTAACCAAGCTCAATACACTTTCTAAGTCAAAAAAGGGCCATAATTCTGTCAAAAACCTTGACAGAGTTATGTACTCTTGTCTGTAGATGGAGGTTATGATGGTGAACAAGTATGGTAAGTTTCAAAGCCATACTTGTAATACTTCTGAAATAAAGTGGGGTGGTACGAAAAACTTAACCAAGGTGTGACGCCAACGCCGACGCTAACGCCGACGCCGACGCCGGGGCGAGTAGGATAGCTCCCCTTTTCATAGAAAAGTCGAGCTAAAAACGTGTTGTCTGAAAGATTTTGATCTAATAAATCGATTGGTAACATTTTCAAACCAATAAAATAAAGTATCCATGTATAACTTTTATAAACAATATTGCTATCCGGTAATGTACATGTATCTTAGCAGGACCGGAAAGCACACGATATATCTATTTTCCTATATACTCGTAATAATTATCAATATTTTTTTTTAAAATGACTTGTCTGTAAGATTTTGATCTAATAAATCGATTGGTAACACTTTCAAACCAATAAAATAAAGTTTTCATGTATAACTTTGATAAAAAATATTGCTATCCGGTAATGTACATGTATCTTAACAGGACCGGAAAGCACTCGATATATCTATTTTCCTAAATACTCGTAATAATTATCAATATATAAATATAAAAATGACTTGTCTGTAAGATTTTAATCTAATAAATCGATTGGTAACACTTTCAAACCGATTAATTAACGTTTTCATATGTTTTTATGAGAAATTTGAGTGCTTTCCGGTATTTCGGTGCTATTCGGTGCTTTCCGGTTTTTCTATGCACCCAACAGCGTTTGCCGTTCAATTGAAACAATTCTGACTTTGACATCTGTTCCATTGTATGCGGTAAGTATAAGCAAGTTTAATTATCGTGTTTAATTATATTCAAGCCGTTGCCTTTATATGCCAATTCGTGCATCATCTGCAGATCTGACTCTGGTATACCTTATACCTTGTGATACCTTGTGATGTTTGGGAAACTTTATTAGACCTGTTTGTAATCAGCATTTAACAGCGTTTGCCGTTCAATTCTGACTTTGACAGCTGTTCCATTTTATGTGGTAAGTGTAAGCAAGTTTAAATATCGACTTTAATTATATTCAAGTCGTAGCCTTTAAACGAAATCATGATAAAACAACAAAATATACAAAAACGTCATCTTACCACCATCTTTGTTGTTGTTGTCGTCGTCGTCTTTAGACTGGTGTACTTATTTTTACTGTAAAGAAACGAAAAGTTCTTTTTGGAGCTTCACTGAGTCTTAAGGAGATTAAAACAGGAAGTTATGAAAAATGGAATGAATGGAAATTTAGTTTAATAATATTTTATTGTATACTTGTACATGATATATAAATTTACACAATCTAACATCATTATCTTAAGCATAAATATAATGTACATACAAAGGGTTGGACCAAAAGTTAGTCCAACATTATCCAGGGTCCTCCCCTATTAAATGGATGGAAATACATCAGCTTCTGTAAATGAAGTTTTCATTCATTCATTCATTCATTCATTCATTCATTTATTCACTCACTCACTCACTCACTCAATCACTCACTCATTCCTTCATTCATTCATTCATTCATTCATTCATTCATTCATTCATTCCGTCCTTCATAATTCTTGTTAATCTCCCAGATAGAAGAAAACACGAGGTTAATTCCTAGAGGTATATGGGTTTTGAGCTAATACTTACTTTATGCAGTGAAGAATGCAACTAAATAGGTTTCATATTTATGTGATTTGCGGTTTGAGTTTGCCGTTTTCACCTTGCTTTTAAAATTCTAATATTTATTTTGTTTCATTAAATTTATTTAGATGTCGAAACTATCAGAAAAAACTATAACAAAAGCAATAAAAAAAAATTATGACATTTTTGAAGGAGATCATCTAGCTATACCAAAAACTAAAAAAAAGATGTATAAATCTTAAAAAAGGACACTGATAAATCAAATCATGGACTGAGGCAAAAAAAAAAAACAACAACAACGACAAAAAACAGATCGCTCATCAAAACCCAACAACAAACTCTTCTACCATGGCTAAACTAATTAGCCCCAAACTCAAAAAAAACCTTGGTGTAGACATGTCCACAGATTCAGACTACAATGCACAGATCACAATATTTTAACATCAAATGCAAGCAAAAAATTAGGATTCATCAACGGGCTATAAATATATAAAAAAAAGTAATAAATATTTTTTTTAGGAACAAGCTCATGTAAACAGTAATATATATAGTATAATTGTTGTGTTAAAATAAATAAGTACTTTTTATCTTTCCCTCACTCTTACAACAGATATATAAACAATATTTAGCTCCATGCATTTACAAATAAAAACATTTTGAACAATGATTTGAAGTTTTCAAAGTCTTTCACTGTCCTGATAATATTCATTTTCAGGTTTTTAGTCTCTCTCGCACCATTTACTTATTCTACGTGCACTATTTCTGCCTATAACACTATTTTTTTATTCTATTAAGGTCTGATTTGTTACTTTGGACAAAAATAATACATCCACAATCAAAAGTAGCTAGGGGCTGTGTAAGCGTTATAAAATAATTGTTTCCACAATAATTCTTTCGCAATCCCACAACTGCATGCCCGTTTGAACTGACTTAATTAAGTTGGGCAGGGTGGCAAATTAGCTAGGGAGTTTTTTCCATATTATAATGTTTTAAGGGAAGAAAGAGTACGTATGGTAGTCGGAGGAAACCTGTATTCGGCGTAGGGATAAGGGGTGCATATGTTAAATTTGGTCAACATATGTGGGGCTTGAACATATGGTTGGAGATTAATTGCAATTCTTTAATATTTGAATTCTTTTCAGCTGCGATATTTTAGAAGCAAGCTCTCAGTACTTGGACGATGATATAAAACAAATTCTAGTGTTCAGTAAACATCATCTAAAGGTTTTAGTTATTAAATGGGCATTATTTTTTTAAGTTGAACGAATTTATTAAAAGTTGGGTACTTTATTGAAGTAAACCAGTCCACGTAAACGGCGCAAATTTATTTGTTTCTCCGCAATTATGTCCTGTTTAATAATTTCAGCCAATCAGAATGTTGGATTGTTTCATGAGCAATATGGCGCCAAATTAAGATTGCGGGAATTGGAGAAAATTAGGTAAAATATCTGAACATGCTTTATTACAAGAAAATTAGAATTTTTACCTATGACACTTTTGTGATAACAAAAACAAGCCATATCGACAGCCGTGCTGCTGGTTTTACTCCCTAGCGACGTGGTTGAGTGTTCTACCGACACGGGCATCATAAATAATGATCATAATTTGGGTTTTTATCAGTTTATTTGTGTTGCTGTTCTGTTTGTTTCTCCTAACCAGTGGCCCATTTGTTTATTATTTCAGGAGAATTGATTTACATCATCACCATGGAGACAAGACATCAAAGGAAGAGAAGTTTGCACAGCTCTCCCTGCAAAAAAGCAAGGTATGACAGCTGAATCAATAGATCTATTTAAACGTAACCACGGATTTGAATCTATTTTTTTACATTGGTCAAATCCGCTTTAAATAACATCTAAAGATATCTAATACGAAATTAGGCAAAGCCTATGAACGGGGAAGTCGTTAAAAATTCCTTTCATTCTTTCCGTTTTAAAGGTGTCATTCGGTATTACATACATCGCTTCCGTTTTCACTCGGAACACTCGGCATTTATTATTTATCCGAAAAGTTGAGATTTGTTCCGTTATCGGAATACCCCGCCTATTATCATTGAGTTACATTGTAAATGGCGGCGCCCGACTAGAACTTACACTGAAAATTTCATTGGTAGGTATAGAATTCTAGCAATCCGGTCAACTCGTCCCCTGGTCAACTCGTCCACTGGTCAACTCGTCACCTTTATGGTCAACTCGTCCCCTACTTTTGGTCAACTCGTCCTCAAAGAGTCAACTCGTCCCTAATATGGTCAACTCGTCCCCTACTTTCGATCTATTCGTCACTATTATGTTGTAAATCAATGTCTTTAAATAGTTCTTTTATGTAAAATTAATAATGAATTTGATTGGTATCGAAATATTAATAAAATAACGTCTTTTTACGTTAAATTTTAATGATCTTTATCTAAGCGCACGTGCATAGCTTTGATGTCAAACTACAAAGACAGGTGAGTTTGCAAACATTCAATTAATGTTTAATTAATCGGAGTTTTAATGATAATTAAAACTAAAATTAGGTACAACTCTTTGATTTTTACCTCCTCCCTGAATGGATTAAAGACTGACGACAGATTAACAGAAATTAGAAGTGCTAAAAACTTTATGTCGGTGCGTATTGATCTCATTATAGAAGGATCAATTAAAAACATGATAATTGTTTGTTGTGAAATTGTCAATATAAAAGTTGCCCTGATAAATATAAGGTCTTCCTCCACCAATAAAGCTGGAAAAAAATCGACGAAAAAATCTCGGCGGGACGCTCTAGGATGGCCCGACTTGAGTGTACGGTCGCCCATATGGGCTTTCCGGCGGCGACCTTAAATAAACGCATTGAAAAAAAAAAAAGATTTATTCTTAAAATCATATTTGCGTTGTACGTTATATCAACATTGGATTATTTTTTATAGTGCATATTAATAATTTCTTAGAATTCCATATTGTTGGATTATAGACTGCATCTTATATAGTGTATTGGAATAAAAATTGTCAAAGAATTTTTATTTGTTATTATCTTTTTGTAAAGGGTATAAAGCCAAATTTAATGAATTTATTAAGTTTCTGATTTTTTTAAATTGCATTTCATTGTAATATTATGGTCCATTATCATAGGAGTTGTATATACATACATACCTGTTGAAAGAGTTAGTATTTATTTATTTATTTTTTTCAATATTTTTTTAAAATAAAAAAATCTGTACAATAATATTTGTCGTGGATATTAACTGATTGAAAACATAAAGTAATTACCAAATATTCAATTGCCATTTAATAATTAGTAAAGATTAATATTAAATTTCCATAAATAAGTCTTTAAATTGATCTCAAAGAGGAGCTGTATAAAACCGAGTTCTTGTATAAAACAAGTCAACATATTGAATGTATTATTTGTATTTAATTCAACATTTTCATATATTTGACCATACACCATCAAAAACAAATTCCACATTTGAAAAATAAAATTTTATAACAACCTTTGGCACGATTTTCACGCGATTTGTATAATTTCAAATTAAAGACACGCGTTCTTTAAATATATAAATACGTATCCAACCACAGAGGCAAATGTGTCTTTAATCCTATTATCAAATTACTATGTGTTTACTTTAATAACCAAAGGCACGTGTCATGATATATTTAATTAACAACAAAAAAACTCCAGATTTTCGCATACAAAAAGCGTCAAAATATGTCCAATTCAGTAATTTTATAATATATTACTTTAACAGTCTATAATAATTTATGAACTATATGAAAAACAAATAATAATAAAATATAGGGGACGAGTTGGGGACGAGTTGACCAGGGGACGAGTTGTCCAAGGGACGAGTTGACCAAAAAGGTGACGAGTTGACCAGAGGACGAGTTGACCAGGGGACGAGTTGACTCTGAATCGAATTCTATATATTTTTTAATTCTCTTTTTATTTGATTTTCTTTTAAATATACACGTGTAGTCTATAGCCGGGCAAGCCAAAGCCCGGACCCGCTTCGCGGGTCCGGTCTTTGACTTCCCCGTATTAAAAGGCCCATATCAAAATGAAATACACCAAACATGCACAGTAATCATTCAAACTTCCTATGTAAAATGTTACAAATCAGGGGTGTAGCTAGGTCTTGAAAAATTATACGCAAAGCGAGGCATGAAGTGCCGAGATGGGGAGCGTGCGGGAGGGGGTGTCCCCCTCCCACTGGTGGGGGTACGGGGGTCTCCCCGGGAAAATTTTGATAAATTAGATGTTAAATCCGTGGACTCCAGCATGTCTTGAAGCAACTTTTGCACGTAAAGCATGGAGCATTCTCAAGTCATTTTATCCCCATAAATTGATAAACATATAGCTGCTCGTTTTACATTTTAACTTTTTTTATTATAACTTCAAACAGATTTTTGAAGAAAAAAGGAAGTGTACGCCTTGTTGTTTTCTTATTGTAAAATTTAAGTTATGATTTACCGATAAATTCAAATCGACTCAAAAGTGTGTCGATTTGTGCTATAGGAAATTAGTCAATTAGGGAAAGACTTCGCATTTTCCGATAAACGTAAAAATGTAAAATAAAGAAAGTGCGATGTCTTTCAATGAAGGACTAGTTCAACTTCAAAGATATTTTTTATCAGACAGAAGGAAAGTTCAGTTTTGTACTCTTAAGTGTTGTTGTTTTTAAAATTCTGTTCATAATTTAAAGTTTAAAACGTAGAAATCGTTACGTATCCATTAATGTTTTCTCTTGACAGTCATTTTCCACTGGGTCCTGGGCCCTTTTAATTGTGAAAAAAGTGCCATGATGCCATTATTTTTCAATATAAAATAACACTCTTGTGTTGGAAAATGCCTTGATTAAACCTCTTACTAAACAGTCCCAAAGTTAAAATCTGCATATTGTAAATTTCATAAAAACAGTTTGAATGTGTTTCCAATGACTCCAGTTTCATATGTGTAAATGTCTAGCAACCTCCTTGTGGTGAAATTGAAAGTACAATTTTTGTTTGCATGAGAAACTCTGTGTTTGGTCATCTGTACATCAGAAAACACTGAAGGGTAACTATATGGAATTTAAGAAACTCGAACATGTTTCAGATGAAAATATACATGAATTTATTAACTGATACATTGTACAAAGTCAGGGCCTTTTCACTAGTTTTGGGGAAGGCGCCCAAGCCCTTTTTGTGGGGAAAAAATGTGCGGTTTTAATACTTTTGGGGAAAAAAATCACATTTTCCACTGGCAGTTTAACCGTTATTACTATAAATAAAGACTTATTTAAATCATACATTTGGGGGAAATTTCATAATATATTTGCATATTTTCCCCCAAACACACTTATTTTAGGAGCTTTCTGTCCAACATAAGTTACAGGGATTTTTTTACAGATCAATTTATTGCCACTTTTTATTTGCCTAAGAATACATTAACTCATATTTCCTAATTATAGAAAATTTACGTATGACATGTGAGGGTTCTTGATTTGAGGTATCCCTCTAGTGGGTAATTGAATAATTAGCTTTCATTGGACAAAAACATTGATCTATTTTTAAACAAGAAAGTTTGTTAACAAGTTTTTTTCTTCGATGTAACATTTCTCTGAAAGGGAAAATCTTTGCAAGAAGGGGAATTTTAGACTGTTTTTGGGTAAAAAAGGTAGTAAGTTGGCTTGGGGAAGTAGCCGAATACCGGCTACAGTACAGAAGGGTAAAAAGGCCCTGAAAGTGCTAAGGGTTTTGACCTTTAATCATTAATGCTTTGGAATCTATTTTACAAACATTTTTCTGATGTTTAGAAAGTGTAAAAAATTGTATGAAATATATACACATAAATAATTATGTTTGTTATATTTTCATATAAGAATGGAGCTTGACTTTGGACAGAATACACCTTCACCAAAAAGAATCAAACTCCATGCAGTGATACCACCTGAAAAGGATAGCGCTGAACTTGATGCAGATTCTTTTACAATCAAATCTTTTTATGGTAAACGTGAGAAGATTCACTTCCCCCATTCTCCTGGCAGGAGAAAGGCAGTGGATAAAGTTTTAGAGAAATTATCTGATGAAAATACGGATTCGGAAAATGAAAGACTTGCCCTGAGGAAAAGGGATGGTAAAAACAGAAAGGGGGAACTTAAAAATCAAGACATGTCAAAGTTTGAGTTCCATTCATCAGACTCTGGTGATACTGAAACTGAAGATAAATCGAGGCCAGTCTTAAAGCAGAAAAACATTGGGAGCAATAAAAAAGTTCCATTAAATGTTACGAAAGTTAAGAAAACTCCAAAAAGTAATTCCAACCAGAAAGTGTTGGCTAAATCAACAGGTAAAATACCAAATAAGGTAGATAAAAGTTTAGAACAAGAAAGGACACCTATGACCACCGGGAAGAAATTCTTTAAAAATCGATCCCCTGCTTCAGCGGATAAATGTTTTGGTAATTTAGTGATTAAGAAAGGTTTTGAGTTAAAGTTTTACCCAAAGAGATTAGACTTATCCAAAACAGGCAGCAATAAGCCAAAAAGTGCAAGTAAAAAGGAGAAGGCAAAGCCTAAACCTGTGGAAAAGGTAAAAGCTAACAAGGCTAAGTGTTTCCACAAAGATTCAGTTTTCTTTGTTGAAGATAACTTTAAGCTTGATGGAACTGAGGTTATTGATTCTACTGAAACTCTGGACACATCAAGAAAAACAGTTGTATCTTCTTCTGCAGAGGAGGTTGTGAATGAGAAACTAGATTCCGGTATTGAAACTGCAAATTCAAATGACTTATTCAGTTCACCTGATACTGTGGCTACAGATACTAGACAGTTAGATAACATAGTAAAAGAATCTGATGAATGTTTGACTGATGAACCAGAAAAAAGTTCTGAAGTTTCAAGCGAAACAATGAGTCTCATAGGTGTCGGTTCGGAAGATTTATTCTCCAGTAGTGGTCGGAGCACACCGGTCAATGTCATAAGTGGAGAATGTACTCCATCAGAGCTAACACCACTACAGAGTTGTAATGGATCTCCAACAGGGTCAAGTGAGGAAAGTTCTTTGGTGTCAGGAACAGATGGCTCAAGTAAAGTCAAGCTTTTCCCAATATTTATGAAGAAATCACCTTCAAGTTCTAGTCAGTTAAGCAAGCTCAAGTAAGTTATTATGCTTTAACTTTTCATCACTTTTTCATTGTACTCATATAAATTAAGCTTTTGTTTTCTGTTAAAAAAAAAAAATCACCTTTAACCTGCTGTGCTTTAAGCTTATTGACCTTTGCCACCAGGATGAAGCCTGATCAAACTGCACGGAGTTTGCTGACTAAACTTTAAATATTCATCTTGATATCTCTCCTCCCCCAATTGATAATGGATAGTTCCATGAAAATGGAAGATGGACAAGTCCATTTTAGAGATTTGGGAAGTTAAAGGTGAATTGGTATTATTTTATTAAATGTTGGATCAGTCAAGAATTTATTTCAGTGTTTTCTATGATTGTATTCTCATTTAATATAGACAGTGTTCACTAATAAACTCTAAACAAATTTATGATTCTTACACTTGATGTGAATCACTGAGTGTAATGAGAGAAACTGTTACTTGCACTAAAATGTGGTAATATATATAAATTGTTGTGAATTATATAAAAACTTAGTAAAATTGTCAATTTGTCTCGACAAATTTTGTTATATATTATAATAATCAGGTTCTTAAGAAAGAAATATTAAGAATTTACATTTTAATGACATTTTTTTACAGGGGAAATTCTCCACGAGGTACAAGGTCACCAGGAGGGTCAAGTGTGAATTCACCATTGCTGAAATATGTGAAGAGCAAAGACAGCAAGGAGCAAATGATTATTGTAAGCATTCTTTAGCCAAAAAATATTTTAAAAAAGGTTTGTTTCTGGTGTCTAAGGTTGGCAGTTTAAAAAAATGTATTGGTAAGGAGATGTTTTTGGTTTTTTTGAGGGCAGCATATTGTTATTGGTTGTCTATATATATGTTTACCTGTTGGTTTTAAAACTGTAACTTTATGACTTGGAAGTCTTACTACCTACCCAAATCGTATTGCTAAAAATTAAGAAAAGTGACAAAACACAAAGCCATAATGCCATGCATTAATTTATTGTGCTAGTGTTACGGTCATGGGTCAATGTCATAAATTTGTTATTTAGCAAGTTTTAGTTCGGAATTTTCATCATGGCAATTGATTAAAAAGATACCGTATGATTTGTAGTTGTGGCACAATATACCTTGAACTTGAGGGTTCAGCAATGTTTATTCTATATCACTGTTTCTGTTGTCTGATATAATGTCCTGACTCTTTGCAAATGTTCACTTTTAGAATTGTTTTCCAATGAGTTGATAATTTTTCTAAACACAAGTCACGATAGTGTAAAAGATCCATGTAATTATGTCTAATAAACTTCTCAGTTTTTTTTTTATTGATCTGTGATTCCTTTTTTTAAACAGTACATTAAATTAGGTATAATCTACTGGTAACATTTGTACAAAATTCAATCATTTTATAAATATACATTGTATCTGTAGGATGCTGGTCAGAAAAAGTTTGGAGCTACACAGTGTGAAGTGTGTGGGATGGTGTATACAATGTGCGAGCCCGCAGACGAGGGGATGCACGTAAAGTTCCACCAGAGCTTACTCAATGCTCTCAAATTTCCTGTAAGTGTTGTTGTTATTGTATATTAAATTAAAATCGTTGAATTAATCTTGCATTGATAAATAAACAGCCACATGGGTGTATTTTTACATAGTATAACCTGTCGGGGTTTTGTAGATTTTACAGCCCTCAGTGTCTATTCTAGGAATTCAAAAATAGGGGTGATTTTCCCCCCTCTATTTCAAAAAAGGGGGCGATTTTCAAAATAAAGGGGTGCCAATATAAACTGCCAATGTTAAATCGTCTGCATTAAGTTTACACTGAGGCGTTCAATCTATGAAATAATTCAAACGAAAATATTTATTAAGGCAGCAGAAGTTGTCCCCCCTTAATTTTTATACGAAAACAAATTAAAGAACTGTCGGGATTGATTATAAAGGGATTGACAATACAAACAATCGACCTATCTTTCACGTCTAGATCAGAGCCAAGCTAGGAATTGCCTCATTTTTCTTGATTATTTACTACACTAAAATGGCGCCCAACTGTAAGACCTAGCACACTAGTACTGGTCGGTACGGAACATTCCGTTAATTTCCTTCAACTCATGTAACCAGTACCATACGGTACTAAATTATTATAATTAGCTTACAGTTACCTCCCTTCAGTTTCCGGTGTAAATGTAAACAAAACAACCAAATATAGTGCGGGATGGAAGTTTAACGATTTTATTAACTTTTTTTAATAGATGCGCGATTTTCACGCACATGATTTTGAATTGTGCGCGATCTGTAAAATACTAGCTTGAATTGAGCAATCGTGCGTCCTAGAATAGACACTGAGCCCTACTAGGCAAATGTAAAAAGACAGTATTAGTTCTTGTTGTACACATAAAAAAGTACATGTGTTTATAACTTTCTTATTTAGAAAAAGCTGTTTCCCTATATTTTAAACCAAAACAGACAATTATGCACAAGAAATGTTGGTGGAATATAGAGTTATAAGCTTGTTAGTTGTGAGGGGTAAAGCTGTTAAATCACTGCATTGGCTTCATGTAGCCGATTATTAAAGCATGTGGTGCTGTTGCTTTACGCTTGTCAGAGTTTGAAATTTTTTTTTTATTTTTTAATTTTTTTTATTATTTTGATATTCAAAAATAATACTTTGGTCATCTGTTAAATCTGAGATTTCTTAAAATATGCATAATTACAGTGTACTAAACTTTTCTGCTTTTTGATGATCTGTAACTTCTGTTTCATCAGAATTTATCTGTGACCTAAATACTTACTTTGCATCGGAAAATTGTGACCTTTCTGGCAGTTATTTATCTCAGATGAGCCATCCAGGGCCATTATGAACCTCTTGTTAGAGATTTCATTAATTTGCATTAATTTTTCACTTGTTTTCGCGAAAATTTATTTTTACTGGAGAGTTATTAAAATTTGTATATTTTACATATTCTTGACTTCTTATTGTGGTCTTGTAAAGTCTAAATACTATCTTTTATGTAATTCATTGAATAAAGAAAGTTTAAATTGAAATACAGGGTTGGAAGAAGGAACATGTGGTACAAGAATTTATGGATACAGGCAGCCGTATCATAATGATCACAACAGAGAGCCCCAAATATGCTATAAAAAAGGTAATCTAAAATATATCCTACATAATTATTTATTCACTGAAAGATGCTCAGATTTAACTTTTTTGCCACTTTTATGAACAGTCTTCAAGGCTGAAATAGTAATTTTTGATAAGGTAAAAAGTCATTTGAATAAAAATCCTTCCAAACGAAATTATTGTTTTTATTTTAGCAAATAACAATGCATAAAAAAATTAAATTGTAATATTCGTGAAAGTACAAATTATAATATTCTTAGGGATACAAATTTACGATTTATATATTTTGAAATTATTGTAGAATGCTTCAAAACCATTTACTCATTTCATACATTAGTAAAACATTTTGACAAAAATAAATTGGATTTGAACCTAAATTTTGCTTACTATTCAATCATCTACAGTAGAAACCTTGTTAAAGACCATCCTTGTATTAAGACCACCCTGCTTTAAAGACCACTTTGGTTAAGACCCACTGGTGGCCTTAGTGTATTTGTATTTCGACCATCAAGGACATATGTCTGTAAACATCATTTTATCTTTGGTAACATGTACAGAGTAAAACAGGAAGGGTCACTATCAAGTTTAACTGTTATAGGTTGAAGAGATTAACAAGGTGATGGGTGAAGAACTTGGCTTTCCAGAACCCAACCTGACTTTTAGATCATCATATAAGGTAATGTACTATGATGACATCTGTTTTTACCACCAACAAACATTTTATGGGTATGGACTATATAGGAATCACTGTGACTAGTCCTGAGTGTTTTGATGTTGTTTTTCTGGAACATCTTGAAAAACAGAATAGATGTTGACACTTGGTTAGGATGAAGGATCAGAGTACAGCTACATGTAGTATGTTATAATGATTTTCATTATTAGCAGATTGGCAATCGATATCATAGGTTGAAATGCTGTTAACATTGCTTGTAATTTTAGCTTAAAGATTAAAATATCCACCTTAGGCCTAAAAAAAAAAATTGTTCTGTTCGGGTCACCCGACCCTACCTAATAATATGCGCCGACCCTACCGTTTTTTTCGTGTCCAAAAAAAAAAAAAAAAAAAAATCCATGAAAATACCGTATTATTGAGGTACTCAATGAGCAGTGTGAAGGGCAATTCAGGCGAAAATTTCGCTGTGTATATTCCATTTCACTCTCCCAATTGATCAAAGAGAAGTCAACATCGCCGATAAAATCTTAATTCCCAAAGAGTAATTACTTGCCGATGTAAAGAGCAGAGATTGTATCCGCCCATATGACGACTGCTTATTATCATTATCCAATCAGAGCATCGCTATATACTACCCCTCTACCTGTATGCAAAGCGATAGACCGCCTACTCTAAACAGTAAATAATGAGAGCATCGGCCCGAAACGGGTATATTTTGCGAGTTTAATACGGGATTTGGCGATAATTATAGATTAATTTTTTTCCGATCATCTAAACACGTGCAAATCTTCCCTAATTGATATACACGCGGTGTTTAACCGAAGTAAAGGCGATGTCCAATGGGTTTTTCACGGCTATCACAAAACTGTTAGTGACAATTCGCAAAAATCTTATGATTGGTATGTTGTAGACAGTGAGAGTGTTTTGCATTGTTATCTTTGTAGAAATGCCAAATTTGACACAGCTTGTACGCACGTGGGCACGACATCCTAAAACTACGAATCATGATCGGCATGCGACATATCGGTCGTATATCATGTGCTCATGTATATAACAACAAAATTTGTCAGGAAAGAAGTGTTCTTATTGTTTCAATATATACATATTTGTTTTAATGTCATAAATATGACGCTCAGATTAAGATTTATTAATATTGTAAATTTCAAAAAGCATTATGTATAAAGATATTACCGAGTTTAACATTTCATGAAAATAAAGGGAGGTAATTAGAAATTTATTTTCTATAATTTCTCAGTCGAATTTTTCAATAAGAAATGAATTTATATAATTTTAGTGATCAAATATAATGTGCACAAATGTTTGCAGTACATATTTTACATATTTTTCGATATTTGAAAATTGTTTTATAAGCATAATTATATGCACATAAATATGACAATACAACATAGAAGATCATAAAAGAAATTTCTGTAAACAGAACAGGATAGACAGATTTTATTAATCATTATCCAATGTAACTTTATCTGGAAAGTAAAAATATAAAGTTAATTTATTCATCATAGTTTTCTTACACATTATTATCAAAAATATATGAGAAAGCTTATAAATAGCTGATAAATAGATTGTGTTTCTATTCTAGTTAAAGGATGTATAGACATGCATGTTAATGCATAAACATTGGGATGTTTCCCTTCTGACGATTTTTCACGAGGAAGTCACTTCTCCCTAAAATTTCCCCCCAGGATGAGCCCTGGGTACGGCACAGGTTTTAACGCCGCTCTTAGTTACAAAATGGCGGATCACATCGTCAATATTTGTAAAACGGCGTGTGATCTTCACCAGAAGAACGCTGAGAGTTTAAGATTGTTACACCTGAAATGTCTTTTGAAAACATAGAAGGGATGTATTTGTGCCACCCGGGAGGGATGTCAGAAATTTCCAGATCTAAATTTCAAAAAAAAAAAAAAAAAAAAAAAAAAAAAAATCCGACCTACCCTACCTATTCCTTGAGAGCATGTTACCCTAACAAAACAATTTTTTTTTTTAGGCCTTAGCCAAATCAGTTGTTTATCTGTTGCCTTAGATAAAAATGAAAGCCCTGTGCTTGATTAACTTTGATGGGTATTTTAACCCATTACCAGATATATACGCCTTTCTACGCCTTTTTCACCCCCCCCCCCTTTTTGCTTTCTCAAATGGTGAAAAATGCCTTATTTAGGCCCCCAGACACTTGTTTTTGTTTGAGAAATGTTGTTTAAAAAATGATCACTTTTTCGGCGCGGCCCCCCATCCAAAAGATACATCAGGGGGTTGCCAGAAGGGGGATGTGCCCCCTTGTGTTTGGGGGGTTTGAAGGGGGGCGGAGTCCCCCTGATCGCCAAGAAAATTTTGGACTTGTGGGAGGCTAAAAATGGCCCCAGGTCGATCATAAGATAACGTGTAACCAATGCTGAAAAGCCTTTGACTCTATCTCAATCCATTGAGAAGTGGCAGCACTTTGAAATCAATTTTGAAGGAAAAAATCAACGATAGTGATTTTTGGCAATTTTGAGATGTCCCCTCGTTGCCATGGTAACAGGAAATTTCAGACTGAGCATGTTGTTACAAAGGCAATGGTCCAGTCAACATTTGTGCCAAGTTTGATTAGTATTGAAGCAGTTTTTATAGTTTTATAGCAACTTGAACTTGTAACGGGAGACTTTTCAATGAAAACAGCCATTTTTTACAAAATGCTCATGGGGTAATGGATTAATGAAAAAAATCAAAAAATCTACAAAACAACATTTTTTTTTCAAAATTATATGTTAGGCCATGTTTTAACATCGAAAAACGCGATTTTGGGTAATTTCAGGTATTTTCATCATTTTCTGTTAACCCATTACCCAATATACACGCCTTTTAACTCCTTTTTCACCTCCCCCCCCCCCCCTTTTTGCTTTCTCAAATGGTGAAAAAAGGCCTTATTTAGGCCCCCCAGACACTTGTTTTTGTTTGAGAAATGTTGTTTAAAAAAATGACCACTTTTTCGGCGCTGCCCCCTTTCAAAAGATACATCAGGGGGTTGCCAGAAGGGGGATGTGCCCCCTTGTGTTTGGGGGGTTTGAAGGGGGGGGGGAGTCCCCCTCATCGCCAAGAAAATTTTGGACTTGTGGGAGGCTAAAAATGGCCCCAGGTCGATCATAAGGTAACGTGTAACCAATGCTGAAAAGCCTTTGACTCTATCTCAATCCATTGAGAAGTGGCAGCACTTTGAAATCAATTTTGATGGAAAAAATCAATGATAAATAGTGATTTTTGGCAATTTTGAGATGTCCCCTCGTTGCCATGGTAACAGGAAATTTTAGACTGAGCATGTTGTTACAAAGGCAATGGTCCAGTCAACATTTGTGCCAAGTTTGATTAGTATTGAAGCAGTTTTTATAGTTTTATAGCAACTTGAACTTGTAACGGGAGACTTTTCAATGAAAACAGCCATTTTTCACAAAATGCTCATGGGGTAATGGGTTAAATGATTATGATCGTAAACATAGAATATTTCCAAAACTTGTTTTTTCTGGACAATTGTGTATATTTATATTTCCAAAACTTGTTTTTTCTCGACAATTGTGTATATTATTATATACATATAACATGTATAATGTGTTTTTTTCTCGACAATTGTGTATATTATTATATACATATAATGTGATATGAATTCAATATAATAAACGTAATTCATTTCAGGCATTTATATTTGTGTCGGAGGAGAAGAAGATAGAAGGTTGTTGTGTCGTGGAACCAGTGAGAGAGGTATCATCTTACATTAGAACTTTACAACCTCTGCAGGGCAATGCCCTTTGTGCGGCTATGATTTTGATAGTTGCTAAAAGATAATGGTCTACAAAAAATGTTAAATTTATTGTAAAATTTGACTTTAGGAAGTATAAATACTGTTGTTGTTAAGATGTTATTGCAAAACAGAGGGCTGTTCTATAAAGATTGCACTGGATACTGATACTTTGGTGGGTTTAAAAAAAAGTTGATATTCTTTCGAAATTAGTAAAATTCTGTTAGTGGAAATTTTGATCATGGATAAAGAAAATAAGTGCAACAAAGTATAATTTCTACTACAGGGTTGTTTAAAGGTAATAAGGGTTCATATTTTAGAAGAAGAAAAAAACATTTATTTCCACCTTACTCTCGGACAAAAATAAATTTATTGAATCCATTTATCTTCTGTCTGGAATACTACATGTAAGTGAATGAAAAAGAAAGGTGTAGCAAATTTACAAGCTTAAGTTAATTTAGATTAGACAATCAGAACTTAACATAGAAAAATTGTTCTGATGTTTTGTTATCAATTTTGAGCATAGTTCACGTTTCCACATACATGCAGGTGCTCATAAATAATTGGCTAACTGTTATCCTGCAAGTGTCAACTGAATCAACCAGTGCAGACCAAGATCAGCCAGCTCATTTCTGATCATGGTCTGCACTGTTTTCCATAAAAAATGATGGTTTTGTCCTGATTCAAAGATGGACTAGTCCATGTAAGATATTTAGTGTAGAAAGGGTTAAAGAATGTTTTTTTCAGAACTGCAGTACCATTGTTACATATTGAAAACAAACATGATTATCATTAAGGGTTCAAATCATACCAGAGATGATTATTTCATGTAAGACAACTATCTAGGTAGCTGTTGAAAGTGGCTGATTCTACAAATATATGCATGTGCTCTTGTCTGAAATGATGTACATAGGACATATTGTGGTATTTCCCCATCATTTATAACTTTAAAATGGATTTACGACCTTAAGGTGACAACGGAGTCAATTATCACTGAAAATACCTAAAATGAGATTTTTTGCTAAGTAGATTTATCAACCTTTTCTGAACACATTCGTGATTTAATTTTGGAAGCAGTTAGTCCAAAAAATGTGTTTTTAAACGTTTTAAAACGGTACCTATACTATTTGTATCTGCTATTCGCGTAACCTGTCGATTATCGATAACGCTCCGTCCCCTGTTGAGGCATCAATGAGGGAAATCGGTAGTTCCATATATGCGTGAATTACAGGTCCATACTGGTCCATACTGCTCGTAATACATGTATCGTACAACTACCGTACATCTTTTATGAATATCTCAACATTTAGCCTTTTTTTATATATTAAAAAATTGTCGGCCAATGTACGTAACATAATGTATGAAACATAAATAATTAAGCATAGCGGCAAATCGCACGACCACGGGGTTGATTAAAAATGTAGTTGCTAAAATATCCATAATGTGTGAGAATAATTTGTCTGTCCCGTTAATCTGATAGATATTACATTGAGTTGATAGACTTTTGTACGGATTCAAGGGTTTACTTTACATTCAACCTCGTTTTCTAACAATGTCAAGTAAAACAATTAACAACAAAAACAGACAACATTTTTTATGTGAACGCCTATATGACTTGTGGTAAGGTGTCCCTGACAAATTTCTAAACCATTTTAGATTGTCTAAGGATGATTATTTCTCTATGAATAAAAAAAAGATATTAAAATATATTTTCAGTGAAAATAAATTGTTCGCCAGTAAATCGGTCACAGTACTAATAAATCTGGGACAAAGTATGAAATTTATTGTCTATCCCGGTAGAAACTGGATCTTTATGCCGTGCATAGATGATATTCATGATAATAGAAGTCAAGAAGGCCAGATCATAATGATCGAGTAATATCTTTTATTAGTCCCCTACCGGTTTACCGGAGGGGACTTTAGGTTTACCCTCCGTCCGTCTGTCCGTCCGTCTGTCCGTCCGTCCGTCTGTCTGTCAGTCCGTCCGTCCGCAAAACTGGATCCCGCGATAACTTGAAAAGTACTGAAAATATTTTTATGAAACTTGGTATATGGATAGATGGCAGTATGGAGATTATGCACGTCTTTTTCTTTTCTTCCTATGTTGAAAATTCTGGTTGCTATGGCAACAAATAGGCTGAAAATATGGCAAATTTTACACATAAACTGGATCCAGTGATAACGCAAAAAGTACTGGAAATATTTTTATGAAACTTTACATATGGGTAGATGGCAGTCTTGAGATTATGCACGTCTTTTTCTTTTCTTCCTATGTTGAAAATTCTGGTTGCTATGGCAACAAATAGGCTGAAAATATGGCAAATTTTACACATAAACTGGATCCAGTGATAACGCAAAAAGTACTGGAAATATTTTTATGAAACTTGACATATGGGTAGATGGCAGTCTTGAAGTTATGCACGTTTTTTTCTTTTCTTCCTATGTTGAAAATTCTGGTTGCTATGGCAACACATAGACTGAAAATATGGCAAATTTTACACATAAACGCAGGCTTTCAAGCGGGCCCTACTTTTCCTTCTTTTCCTACTTTTCCCTACTTTTTTTGTTTGACCCCTACTTTTCCCTACTTTTTACTTGAAATGCCCTACTATCCCTACTTTTTTAAGAAAAAAGCTCGAGGATAATTGATAAAAAAATCCAGTATAAGCAGTAGATTGATTTTGATATAATCTTTATCTCAAATTTAATAAGAACCAGATGCAAGTTTAATTGTAGGAAAAAGTTGATAGAAGTAGGTCATCAGTGGTGCAAGAGGGGTTCCATGATGAGGATGGTTTTAGCTGACATGGCAGAATCAGCGACATTAGGTGAGTTTCCTTCTATAGAAATATTACTTAGTGTTCAATTATATTTTATGTTTCATTTAAAAATTACAATATGTTTTTGTACACAGACTAGCTTCTCAATTGTTTTATTACAAAATTACAATATGTTTTTGTACACAGACTAGCTTCTCAATTGTTTCATTTCAAAATTATAATATGTTTTTATACACAGACTAGCTTCTCAATTGTTTCATTTCAAAATTATAATATGTTTTTATACGAAGACTAGCTTCTCAATTGTTTCATTTCAAAATTATAAAATGTTTTTATACACAGACTAGCTTCTCAATTGTTTCATTTCAAAATTATAATATGTTTTTATACGAAGACTAGCTTCTCAATTGTTTCATTTCAAAATTATAATATGTTTTTGTAAACAGACTAGCTTCTCAATTGTTTAATTTCAAAATTATAATATGTTTTTTTAAACAGACTAGCTTTTCAATTGTTTAATTTCAAAATTATAAAATATATTCTCAATTGTTTCCCAATGATGTTTATGCTGAGGGACAATACTTGCCAAACATCTTTGAGCATATATAGATTTTAGACAATGTTTGGCATATTGGCAAGTATTGAAGTTTGCTCACTGTGGATCATTTTGTCCTTGAATTTTCATTGAATGAAAGATACTGGAAAAATGTAGTGAGTGTTTCTGAAAAATATGTATGCTTAATTAGATAGAATTTGATAGCTTTAATATGGTGAGGGATTAGGAATCTTTATCTTATAACAGATAATTTAAGATAAACTAACTGTGTGTTTAGGCTTTCAGTGTGCCAATTATTAGTTATAACCATTAAAAATGTGAGAGATTGTTGTTGCATCCAAAGTTTACTTATCTCTATCTTTAAATATATATATATAATATGGCATAAATACTCATCTCTACCTTGGAATTATCTGAGACTTACTTACATTTCTCACAAGTGTCATTAAGTTTCTTTTTAAATTCCATTTTACTAACAATTTATTATTTCAGGTTCATTAATTTATAAAAAATTAACTTCACAATGCCACAAGGACTCACAAAATTTAACAATGCATGGTTAATGCAAAAAGATGAAAATGGACATGAACTCCATTCCTAGTGTAAAAATGACTCTAACTATGAATACAGTGGCTACTGTTATCTCTGTTGCAAATCTGTCCAATGTTCAAATAATGGAGTCAAGCAAATCATGTTTTAACACCTATCCTTGTTCTAGCCTGTGTTTCACATATTATGCTAGCTCAAAAACCATGTTTTTGCACATAACATTTTTCTTGTTTGTATTTTATAACAACCATACTATCTTAAACAAGGTTTTAACACATTTCCTGTTTCTAGTCTGTGTACAAAAAACATGCTTACTATATGTTTAATGTTGCTAAAAGTCTGTGTTCTGATAGTGATATATTCATTGTTTATAATTTTCTGTTATTATTTGGAATTGGATCTAATAAAAAAATACCAATTCCAGGTTGATGTCCAGATTCATCCCGTTGTGGAATCCCTATTGTGACACTGGTGACTGGTTTCCTAAATGAAAAAAATGCCATGGATATTAGTTGATAAGGGTCTGTATTTGTTTTTGCATCAACTTTGGAAAAAAGGTGAGAAGAGAGTCCTACTTTCCCTACTTTTAGGCTCTGAAAATCCCTACTTTTCCCTACTTTTTTACAAAAAATTTCCTACTTTTATCCCTACTTTTTTGTTATTGGCCACTTGAAAGCCTGTAAACGGAATCCAGTGATAACTCAAAAAGTACTGGAAATATTTTTATGAAACTTGTTTTATTATGTTTTGTGGTCGATATTTTCAAATACAGACTTCATCCTCAAATTCATTATAAATGGCAATACACAGGAGTGTATGACAATTAAAGAACTTTTTGAGGGACCGGTAGGGGACTACTGTATTGCCCGCAATACTATCAAATGCTTGTTTCTATTAAAATATGTGAAGCATTATCAATTTGGTGGAAAAAAATATATAATATCCCGTTCTTATTTGTACATCTACCATGGACTTTAAAAGACTGTCAGAAGCTCAGTTTTTAGCTCGACTATTCGCAGAATAATCGAGCTAATGCAGTCACCCATTTGTCGGCGTCGGCGTCCCTGTGGTTAAGTTTTTGTATGTAAGCTGGTATCTCTATAACTACTGAAGGGAATGGATTGAAACTTCACACACTTGTTCTCTGTGATTATCTAAGATGATTGGCACAAGTCCCATAACTCTGATTTGCTTTTTTTCATAATTATGCCCCTTTTTCGACTTAGAAATTCTTGGTTAAGTTTTTGTATGTAAGCTGGTATCTCCTTAACTACTGAAGGGAATGGATTGAAACTTCACACACTTGTTCTCTGTGATTATCTAAGATGATTGGCACAAGTCCCATAACTCTGATTTGCTTTTTTTCATAATTATGCCCCTTTTTCGACTTAGAAATTCTTGGTTAAGTTTTTGTATGTAAGCTGGTATCTCCTTAACTACTGAAGGGAATGGATTGAAACTTCACACACTTGTTCTCTGTGATTATCTAAGATGATTGGCACAAGTCCCATAACTCTGGTTTGCTTTTTTTCATAATTATGCCCCTTTTTCGACTTAGAAATTCTTGGTTAAGTTTTTTGTATGTAAGCTGGTATCTCCATATCTACTGAAGGGAATTGATTGAAACTTCACACACTTGTTCTCTGTGATTATATAAGATGATTAGCACAAGTCCCATGACTCTGATTTGCTTTTTTACATAATTGTGCCCCTTTTTCGACTTAGAAATTCTTGGTTAAGTTTTTGCGTGTAAGCTGGTATCTCCATAACTACTGAAGGGAATGGATTGAAACTTCACACACTTGTTCTCTGTGATTATCTAAGATAATTGGCACAAGTCCCATAACTCTGATTTGCTTTCTTACATAATTATGCCCCTTTTTCGACTTAGAAATTCTTGGTTAAGTTTTTGCATGTAAGCTGGTATCTCCATAACTACTGAAGGGAATTGAATGAAACTTCACACACTTGTTCTCTGTGATTATCTAAGATGATTGGCACAAGTCCCATAACTCTGATTTGCTTTTTAACATAATTATGCCCCTTTTTCGACTTAGAAATTCTTGGTTAAGTTTTTGCGTGTAAGCTGGTATCTCCATTACTACTAGAGGGAATGGATTGAAACTTCACACACTTGGTCTCTGTGATTATCTAAGATGATTGGTACAAGTCCCATTACTCTGATTTGCTTTTTTGCATAATTATGCCCCTTTTCGACTCATGAATTCTTGGTTAAGTTTTTGCATGTAAGCTTGTATCTCCATAACTACTGAAGGGAATGTATTGAAAACTTGAAGAGTTTGTACCTTTTCGGACAAATTTTATGTATTCATATAGGTAAGCATTATTATACTCAATGAAACACCCTTGTGACAAATTTTCGAATAGTCTAGCGTTACTGTCCTCCGACAGTTCTTGTTTGTTATTTTATTTTATATTTTAACGGAATTTCATACACGAATACACAGGCAGAGTGACACTGGTATAATACAATAATAATGCTGATGATAATAATTTAATAAACTTCAAAAAGGAAACAATTAAATACCCCGCTAGCGGTGCGCAATGCGTTCCATTTCCCCCCACTGAGTGCCTCATATTTTACCGATAGTCACGTGACATGTGCGACAGATACCAGACGGAAAGTAAATCACGTTAAGAATTGAAGAAATTTCGGCTATAAACTGATATTAATCAGCAGCTTTTTAATTGGTCAGATGTCACTGGGTCATAAAATGTTGTTAGAGTATGTTACCGCAACTTGTGACCCTCTCTGGTGCGATTTGTGTATTATGCAATTATTTAGCGTGAAACGTAGGGGTCCGAGAGAGAACAGCCGATTTATGACACTTCGTTTGATGCGGGTCGGACTAACTTTGAATCGGCATAACTTTTTTAAAAATCAAGCAATTAACATGCGGTTTAAAGCACATGAAAGGAAATTCATTTACGGAGGGAACCGTGTCAGGGATTTTTGTTTGCTCAATCAGCGACTTAATTATCTTTAATTACGTAATATGTATGGTGAAAAAAGTCGCATAAAATGTTTGACGTTACGTAATATTTTTTTGAGAAAAGATAGAAAAAATTTGAGACACGGTTCCCCAGATAATATAAGTATGGTTATTTTCCAAAAGTTTGATGACAAAAAAATAAAAAATGACTTTGATATGACGATTTAAAATTTTAGGATTTTTATTCAAAATCAATCATTTACAAAGGCATTTTTTTTCAAATATGTTATTTTTTATGATGATCAACGATATTTAATGCACAAAGATTAAATAAATAACAATTATTACTAAAATAACTTAGTTTAAATGACATTTATGTGAGTACCACGGAAAGTGTCTGTTGTCACCTTAACATTGTTAATATGAAATAAAACCAGATAGAATGATTCTGAATAAAAATAAGAGTAAAATTATGTTAATTTTCTACAAATAGGGTTATAGAGTGTTACCAGACACACAAGCTAGTCAGTCCTCTCAGAATCACCCCGGACATCGACCATGGTGTTGTAGCGACGAGGCGGAGCCAGTACAGATCGGTATAAGTCGTATCTGGGTGTACAGTCAAGCTAGGAGGAAAGGCATTGCTACCAAACTACTAGACTGTGTTAGGTACGTATAACTTGTACATGTCCTAAGTGTATAGTTAACAGACTCCCCAAAGCAATTTTCATCTCACTTCTACCAGAATTTCAAAAAATTGCCTTCAGGACTACAGGTGACATAAAAATCAAGGCAAATGAAGGAATGAAATTTATCTGTAATTTTCATATCATACAACTCATTAAACAAATAAATTGTACGAATATATATGAATCTTGGATTTGAGGTCATTGTTCAAGACCTACAACCCTAAGATAGGTTTCACTGATTAACATCCCTTTGTGAACTTTGGGGAAAAATTTTGGTTCAAGTCTTTATGTACAATATGTATTCTGGAGGTATTCATTTTGGAACTTCACATACATCTTCAAGGTAATAATTGAAGGTCTGTGATGGCGACCTATGAATCAAGCATGGATGAGTACTGAATTATCACATGTTATGATATTTGGTAAGGTGAAATTTGATCTGTGACATATAATCTCTGACAATGAGACTAATGGTCATTTTGTCCCCGTAGTGCAAGAACGGGTTATGTACTTTTAAATTTAATAGGAGTTAACCAGTTATTGCACTAAGATGATGATTTGTCATTAACTACTGTTCTGGAAAACGTGGGATGAGTAGTCGGTCACATGTGTAGAAATTGTTAATTTCTAGTTGATTTTCTAGGAAACTTGTTGGGTGGACCTACAATCATGATATGGCCAAAATATGTTAAAATCAGCTTTAAAAAAAAACATCAACATAAAACAAACATGACATTAATTTAGCCAAGCATGCTGCTTCACGCATAGCACTCACAGCATTTGTTTAATGTGTAAAGTTTCTTTTTTTTACATTTACAGACAATGGTCTATATATGGAACTGTGATACCAAAACACAAGGTGGCCTTCTCTGACCCTACACCGGACGGAAAACTTCTAGCCACAAGATACATCGGCACACCGACTTTCCTCGTTTACAAATATCATTAGCCATTGTTTTAACTTTCTGGTTACGAGCAAGTCAAGTGATGTTGTTACTTATGTGTTTTCGCTGTAACGTATTATAACATGTTGTAATAGCTATGGAGTATTTTTCATATTATTCGAATAAAATAGAGAATATTGTGAAAAAGTGTGAAATTCTGAAGGGTTGTATCTCAGCTCAAGTTTATTGTAAATCTCTGAATTTTTTGTATCTTCAACAAAATGACAGAACATAGTTTAAGATAAGACATGTAATAAGATAAATATGTGATTTATAAAAATAAACAGAAACTCCTTGAAAAAGAGGGGACCGGGTTTAACCCCTCAAAACGTTGGAGATAGAAAAGTTTGTGTAGTAGATAAATATTCAAGAAAATGGTCACAATAGTGATGAGATATTGTTTCTACGTAGCTTTAAACTTGCATTTTCTAAATGTTATAGTGAGTTCAATGATATTAGGACAAGATAGATATTATTAATGGTTACTTGTACAATAATCAATATTACTAGTATCGCACACACATTTTTTTCCCCAGTGTTAAGTTTGATCCTAATAGTTATTGAATAGGTTTTAGCGCTAAAACATATTTCACAATGAACACAAAAGATGAAGAAACATCTACATAGCCTCTTTGAAATATTTGTAAATTTCTTTCTAATACAAAGTTTTGGTCATTTTGACAATTGAGGGATTATCAAATCTTTGGATTCAGGTGGCTTACAGAACGTCCATGGTTCTACTCAAAAGCCAGTTTGTCCCTATTATAATGTTCCAAGGGAGGTCTTCCTCCACCAGTAAAGCCGGAAAGTCGCCTTATGACCTCTACTGTGTTGATGCAACATCAAATCCAATCTAAATAAGAAAAACACAATTTTTGCTTTTATACATTTGCGATTGATCATTTGTGTGCTAGTAAAACACACAAAATTTCCCAACATTAAATAATATTTGCAGTAATGGACAATTGAATGGTATCTTTTTTACTACCTTCAGTGTATGAATTTATCAAAATAATGTGACAAATTTTTTTACAGAATTTTGAAACTTGTATTCAGAAATTTGTTTGTTTCTGTATTTGAAATTTAATTGCAATAAACTTAAGAAATGCATACATTTATGAATACAATACTTTGTTCATTATTAATTCAAGTTTAATTATTACATATACACAATGTTAAGAGTTTTGCACAAAGATGTGTCAATTAAAGACTTAAAGCACTATATCGAATCACATATTATTATTTTATGGTGATAATGTTATCTACCATGATATTAAGTTGGATTGAATTTTTGTGCAATTTTGCAATGATTTTAAAAGGTTTTTCGAAGACATTTATTTCATTGCACATCAGAGTATGTTTTCAATGAATGATATTCATTTTTGGTATGTTATTTGTTGCGTTAGTTCAGAGGTGAGCTACAGTGATCATCAGATTTATGTTCACAAGCTTCGTAATACTTATTGTGATAAATAACAAAACAATTTAGTGCATGAAATATTTGTAGGAAGCTTCTGTTAACACCCACTTGTCAGCTTCTTAAATATGCCATCTACATGGTTTGAGGTGGGAAGCTCTGGTGTGGAAAACTGAAGAGCCACCATGGTTCTCCTGTTTGTTGTATCCTTTTCTTTTTTTTTTCGTCTTTTTGCCATCAAATAATGGATTGATTCTTTTGTTTTAATTTAGTTACATTGTTACTGGAAGCCTGATGTACTGGTTATTGTTTGTTTAAATAGATATGAGCCGCGTCACAACAAAACCAACATAGTCTGTTTGCGACCAGCATGGATCCAGACCAGCCTGCGCATCCGCGCAGTCTGATCAGGATCCATACTGTTCGCTTACCAACTCTATTACAAATAGAGAAACTGATAGTGAACAGCATGGATCCTGATCAGACTGCATGGATGCGCAGGCTGGTATGGATCCATGCTGGTGGCAAACGCACTATGTTGGTTTTGTTGTGGCACAGCTCATATAAGTATTTCATCTTGTGTGATAAGCTGATAAGTTCTATTCATATTGGGTATTTTCTTCAAAGAGTTGAAAATTTTGACTGAAAATGTCAGATACATTCATTTATATAACATTGATCATGCAAAATATGCATTTTTCGTACACTTATTTTCTAAATCTTTCCAGGGATTACCATCAAAATATGTATAAAAAAACAAAGCAGTGTTTGAAACTAATATAGTATATTACACCAGTAACAGCTCGACTTCTGAAAAGTGTATTGTACATGACAATGTCAAAAGACTATTTCTGCAAATTTCTTCATAACCAATTCATAAAGAAGGAGCTTGGTTTTATTTTTGATGGTTTTGGCAGTGAATATAAGTAAATTCAATGTTTGTGAAATCTAATTCATATTCAAAGTATGAGTATATTATTATTAAGAATATTTTATAATTTCGTATTGTTTTAATGTATAGAAATAAAAGTCATTTTATATTTCCTGCAGTATTTTATAGTTTTCTATGCCCCTTAGCCTAACCTTCATGTGAACTGATAGTTTAATAATCTGTCTGTCTGTCTGTTGGTAAAATTATTTTCATGCTACAAGAGCTTTATGCATCAACATACTATGCCTATGGAAAAGATCATTATATTTATTGAAATATGACCTTAACCCTTAATGGCCTTAAGTTTCAAGGTCAAACTTCAGAAAAGTCCACTATTGATAACTACTTATAGTATCTTGAAATATTTGTGCCCACTTCTTTAGACGGTGTCGTGCGCATGTCCAAGATGCGAAACTGAAAGGTTAATGTTACACCACACAAAGGCTAACAAAAAGTGCATTTTTCGAGTCTAGTTGAAATCGTAAATGTGTGCATTGCATTACTTTTTGAAATAACTGAAAAAGCCATGCCACACTGGTTATAAAAAAAAGCCCGCCCCCCCTACCTTTTTATATAAAAAACCGGAGCTATTGTCTCTGCCTTGGGTTAACATAATTGGTTAAGTTTTTGTAAATGGTCAATAACTTCAATACATTTTTACATTGAAATCAACATTGGTCGTCACTTTGGCCTGACAATGCATAAAACTGATGATTAACATGGACCGGGAATAAGAACATAAAACCAGCCTTTAAATAAAAATGTTTTAGAATATAGGTTTTCCTTGGATAAATTTTATCTGCCACACCAATTATATGGTCAACAGGTCATTGAACACAACACCAAAAAATAAAGAAAAGCATTTGAGAAATAAAAGCAATTCTGGGACATAATGGACCTGATCCTATATTAGCCTTCTTGTGTTGTTATTTCTGGTATTTACAAAATATCCGGTGAGTGCACACAATACGAAGATAGTTAGTTTGATATGTACCGGTAATAATTGACAATTTAATATGTTAAACATTGTAACTGTTATCAGTGAAGTTGCCTCGGGGTTTAGATTGCAATGTTTTTCTAACCCGCCGTGACCGCTGAAAATCACTACTTTTTCCACACTGCATCGTTTTAAATAAGGCAGACAATTGATTTTAGGCCTTCAAACATTTTTTAATTGCATTTTTTGATTTCCAAGAAAATTTAACTTAGCCTTTTCACAAACAGAGATGGCTGTTTGGATTTACTCCGGTAGTTTTAAGGTTACAGGTGTGCGCTTTTTAAGACTTAAATTTTACATAAACGAAGAATTTTCAATAATAAAAAAAATTTGTCAATAGTGCTTCCTCCTGAAACACTTGTATGATGTTTCCAAAAAATACTTTGTAGTAATTTTGTGACATATTTGCTCTAAATTACTTAAATGGCTGCAGTACTAACTGTTTTTATTATGCACAAGAACGTTTTAACTATCGTTGTTCTGGGACCCTAGTAATAGAAAGTTCAAACGGCGTTGTCCCGGGACACCGGCAAGACTAGGCAATCTTATCGCAGTAAATTGGCCAGTGAATAATCATTCATGTGAATGTGAGTGCGCTATCTTTAAGTTGTCAGATAAAAGACCTAATATCCCTGATAAGACAAAATTGTCAATATTTTAACAAATACATTTATCAAATAATATAACATACACTTTGGATACAAATTTAAGTCGTGCTGGTAAAAGTTTTAATCTAATGTATAAAAATCACCTCCGTTTTAACTGACTGCACATATACATATATGCAAACATAACCATGTACAAACAAGATTAGTTAATATCAAACATCGTTAATATTTTAAAACATTTCTCTTATTGTTTTAAAGTAAACAGATGTTTAAATTGTGTTCAAATCCGGATGAAAATACCGGTAGTTTTGTTCTCTTGCAATAATATTGAAGAAAATACACAGTTATATGTAGAAATGACTCGGGAGATAAAATATTGTTTGTTTTTTTATTCGAAAAAATCTCTTTCCTGCAATATGAGAAATCAAAGTTTGTATGTGAACTGGCAAATACTTTATAAATAAATAAATGAATGATCATCATCTACTAGGTTTATTATCTTTACAGTAACAAAAAAGTCTTAGAAATGAGTCGTTGACACAATGAGATTGGTTACCATATCTATCTAGTCGGGATGGTTCCCCTATCATTGTCATTTTATTCCTTTCTCCTTCTGGTCCAATTTCTGAAAAATCAACAGTTCCTTCGAAATATGCGTATCCGGGTATGGTGTGAAAAAGTATATAATAGCGTCCTGTAATGTCTTTTATATCTTTATTAAAAAGCTTTTCAAAAAATCCGGGTTGCTTTTGTCCTTTTGGAATATTATCTTCATCACTGTTAGAATACGAAACCGAGGCTTCTGTGACGTCATAAAAATCAAGACCACTGCAGACGTCTTGCTGCTTTTTCAAAATTTCGTTAATTCCCTTAACTAGAAATTTAGCCATGCCTTGAACGATTCCACTTGAAGTTGATATGTTTATTTTTTCCTTACATGTACAATATTTCTCTTCAATACCTGCATCAGCGCACGTTCTTTCTATTGGAATATAATGGAATAAATTTCTTCGAACAAGATCAGTTTTTACAGGTTTGGTAATTTGTTCATTGAAGGCAACATCGTGGACCAGGTCAAACATGGTCTGATACATGTCGTAGTGAGTCGTAAGTCTTTGTGTGTTTTCCGACAAAGTTTTATGCAGCCATTTATATTTTTGTTTCAAATATTCTGGAACATGAATCATCAACCATGGTTTATTGTTTTCAGCTCTGCCCGTATGGGTCAAAGAAGCGCCGCCTATACGGTAGCCGTGATCACTTATCATGACAAGTATTGCATGCTTGGTCTGATTTGTCGTCTGCATCCACTTCAGAAATTCTAACAAAGAATCATCCCCTCTGCTTAATGTTGTGAACTGCTCGTGGCACACTTGATTATTCCAGAAATATGCAAATTTTCTTCTATTCTTATATTTATTCAAAAAGCCCTTTAAATAATCAATTTGTATATCAAAATAATTTTTAACACCGTAACAATCCCATGACGGTTTTCCTAAGAAGTCAATAATCTTCGGCTCGAACTTATGCATACCTAGAGTATATGGACGGAAATAGAAGTCAGTTGGCACATGTTTAAACCCACTTTTCACGAAATTAAATGTAGAAATATCTGGCCTGTCTTCGGCAAAGTATGTAGCAAAACGCTTCATCACTTCCTCTTTCCACACCAATGGCATAGAATCAACATGATGTCGTAAATGACTTTCTAACGGAAAGCTTCTATGAGATTTTCCTGTTAAAAGCGGGACTAGATTCGGCCATGTATTTTCGCCAACTTTGCTATAGCCTTCGAAATCGTACATGTTGAATTCATCTGTAAGAAATTTGTACGATTTTGGAAGATTTCGCAGCGCGTGAGATCTAGAAACAGAGTCTATTCCAAATATTATTAAACTAAGTTTGTTTTCACTTTCTGATTCTATTTGATCTATGTTTTTTGCATTATCATTCCAAACTGGGTTAAAATGAAGATAATCGTATACAAGTTTGTTCGTTTGGTTTGAGCATTTTACACGAAACACGTGACTTTTTATGAACGCTGGTATCGTAAATGTTTGTTCCGGTCTAAATGTCACTTCCACATCTCCATCTTCTCTTTTCATAGTACTATACACACATTTAAATGACGATTTCTCAAGTTTGTTTAGGCTCATTGCCGTTTCATTAAATTGCAGATATCCTTCGCTGTCAACAAACATAATCTGGTGCCGCTTTGAGCATTTTAATGGCGGTGGGTCGACAATGTACTGTTTTAGCGAGTCATCCCATGGGTTTAATTTCTCTATTTTGCATGGTTTTAACTCGGCGTCGGTATGGTGAGGCAACACGTAAATCCATGAATATGTTAACAAAACAGATCCCAAAATAACCAAAAGTCCAAATCGCTTTATGTTCACATTACATGATCTAAACCTGCGTATCATATTTATCCGTGTATTTTTATCTGTCCTGAATTGTTATTTTCAGTCATAACGTACTTTCGCTTAAGTTGTAACAGTATTAGCCACATCCGTTTTTTTCAAGTGAATATTACAAACTTACGCGTCGCGGATGAATACTTGAATACCTATGTCGCTAAAGTCTAAAGTTAACACACGGTGATACGGAGTGGCATTTATCAGTAGCCGTAATGTTTCATTGGGGGAGTGCGGGGGGGGGGGGACTTGTTACTGGCAGATAAGAAACATACTTAATATTACTCAGCTCTTTTGATAAGATACACTGAATTTGTTTTTAACCAAATTTGATCTACACTCATTCTTTATAATTCAGCAGTGCCATGTTAATTTAATTTGAGGTGTCAGCTGCATTAATGATATTTATACAAAAATTGTTCACTCGTAATAACTGAGACCTCCAGCTATATAATTAAGCTCCAGTGAAAAACAAGGCTCAGACTGTTTTAAATAGAGCGTTTAGCTGCTTCATAGTAAAAGCTTTGCATTTTATTTATTTAGGCTATTGAATTAGAACTTCTTATAAGTTCATATATACTTAATGTAAATTATACGCCAAGAATATATAGATATATCATCACAATTATCCCAAATATGAATTTTGTTCACTTCTTTCATGACTCAGTTATTTGTGATTTTGTATTAATCATGTATTGTACGAGTATGTATTGTAAATTAAGATGCAATGATATTGTCTATGTGTATGTATATTTGTATGTATGTATGTATGTATGTATGTATGTATGTATGTATGTATGTATGTTTGTATGTATGTATGCGTGCGTGCGTGCGTGCGTCGTGCGTGCATGTGTGGCCAAAGGGTTTTGTACTGATGTGCAAATAAACTTTGACACTTTCTTCATATCTTGTAAAATGTTTAAACTAATAAAACTTTAGGCTGTATTTCAACGATACATTTAACTAACATACACACGTTGGATTTTTAGGGGGATATAAAAGCCTAAGAAATTTTGTTTTTCCTGTAGAAAGGAAGGACAAACATGTTTTATGTTTTATTAATGGATTTAGAACATATGCGATGCACATTATCAGAAGAAAATAGCACTGAATGTGAAATGATTTGTGATTAAGATAGCAAAATGTAAAATAAAGTGACATTTTAAATTCACTATAAAATAAAAAATCACTGTAAGTGTACTAATTGTCAAAAACGCATAAGAAGCAATGAAGGGCTCAGATATATGACCAATGAGTAATGTTTTGGAAAATCTAACAGGGCAACAACAACAACAACACTTTTGAAAACAATGATAGCAGTGATAGGCTTATCTTATTGATCGTAAATACGAGACAGTTTCAAATAAGTGTTTAACACCTCTCATTACCCCCTATCAATTATTTAGAATTCACGTCCTGTACATTCATGTTCTTACTTGGTCACGTCCTGTCTATTCATGTTCTTACATTAGCCACGTCCTGTCCACTCATGTTCTTACAATAGCCACGTCCTGTTCATTCATGTACTTGGTCACGTCCTGTACAATCATGTACTTGGCCACGTCCTGTACAATCATGTTCTTACTTGGTCACGTCCTTTACAAACATGTTCTTACTTGGTCACGTCCTGTACACTCATGTTCTTACTTGGTCACGTCCTTTACAAACATGTTTTTACTTGGTCACGTCCTGTACAAACATGTTCTTACTTGGTCACGTCCTGTACACTCATGTTCTTACTTGGTCACGTCCTGTACAATCATGTTCTTAGTAACGTTCTGTTAAATTATGTACTTGGTCACGTCCTGTACAATCATGTACTTGGTCACGTCCTTTACAAACATGTTCTTACTTGGTCACGTCCTGTACACTCATGTTCTTACTTGGTCACGTCCTTTACAAACATGTTCTTACTTGGTCACGTCCTTTACAAAGATGTTCTTACTTGGTCACGTCCTTTACAAACATGTTCTTACTTGGTCACGTCCTGTACTCTCATGTTCTTACTTGGTCACGTCCTGTACACTCATGTTTTTACTTGGTCACGTCCTGTACAATCATGTTCTTAGTAACGTTCTGTTAAATTATGTACTTGGTCACGTCATGGACAATCATGTTCTTACTTGGTCACGTCCTTTACAAACATGTTCTTACTTGGTCACGTCCTGTACAATCATATGTACTTGGTCACGTCATGTACAATCATGTTTTTACTTGGTCACGTCTTTTACAAACATGTTCTTACTTGGTCACGTCCTTTACAAACATGTTCTTACTTGGTCATGTCCTGTACAATCATGTTCTTAGTCACGTCCTGTTAAATCATGTACTTGGTCACGTCCTGTACAATCATGTTCTTACTTGGTCACGTTCTTAACAAACATGTTCTTACTTGGTCACGTCCTGTACAATCATGTACTTGGTCACGTCCTGTACACTCATGTTCTTACTTGGTCATTTCCTGTACAATCATGTCTTAGTCACGTCCTGTTAAATCATGTACTTGGTCACTTCCTGTACAATCATGCACTTGGTCACGTCCCGTGTAACCATGTACTTTGTCACGCCCTGTACAATCATGTACTTGGTCATGTCCTTTACAATCATGCACTCGATCACGTCATGTGCAATCTTGCAGAAATGCAGGGTATTTCAAAAATCCCTGAGGACAAGCTAGGTGGGTATAAGGAAATTTTTGTTTATTAAGTTAGATTAGATTTAATAGCAAGGGTTTTCAAATAGAAACTTGATAGAATCTGACGAGAAATTAAATGATAATAGGTATATATTCGGGTAAAACAAATCGAGGTTTTATTGTATTTAAAATCACTTCGTGTGTTGGTTCTTTGTTCAGTAAAAATTTGTAGATCTACGCGGATAACGGGGTCTTTTGATGCATGTGTGGACGTTTCGAACTTTTGATTCTCTATGCGTATAACAGTCAAATCTTAAACGTAAATTTTGTAGCTGTCCTTTCTTCTTAAGATATAAACTGATAGTGGGATAGACACTTTAAACACGTTTGTTCGAAGGAGATAGGAAAGTTGTTCGTAAATAATTCATATTGATACGTACATTTCATAGTTTTTATGCATAGGCACGTTTTTAAACCTCTATGCTTACCAATAGCGGTCAAATTTCACCCGATCCTGTTTGGTTAGCTACTACTAGCACATATTTTCTAGATATATTGGACTAACACTAACAAAAGGAGTCTTTTCTTCTTACGGCAAGTAGCTGTTAGTGCTATTTGCACTAATAAAAGAAATGATACAAAATACACTGTTGCTGCCAATGAAAGAGTCCGACTGTAACATTTTTTAACGTAAAAATATAGTTATTATTTTTATTAAATACTTATGTGTTTAAAAGTAACAAGTGAAAAAAGATGGGTATTAAAAAACAAACGAACTTTACGTTAAAAAAATCATTACATAACAAAATAACAACTATTAATAAGTTAAAAGGGTTTTTGTCCCGAAATCAAGTGTCTTTGGTTTTATATCGCTATGTGATCTACATATAGTTATGATGTATGAAAATCTAATTAGTGTTCAACCTCATTTGGCAATCAATGAATCCGCCTCACATTAAACTTTCATTACTCTTGTCAAAATCAGCGTTATCATGCCCTAATTCGTTCTAAATTATTACTCATTAATAATTCATAACATTCATTCATTTTGCACTACGACATGCATGTCTTCAATGTCAAATATTAACGGAATACAAAAATGAATAAAATATATTACGCTATATCTTTAATGAAAAATGCTTTTTGTTGAAAATATAAGTAAAGTGACAGAAAAAGGACACTTCTTTATGTTGATTTGAAACGTAAATAGAAATGCTTGCTGTGTAATTAACAAAAATGCTCGATGCCTTGTAGCGTAAACTTTGACGTCGAGTTTTTTTTCTAATTTCTTTTCACTTGAACACAACGTTAAAAATATAATGTCATGACTCAATAATTTTAGCTCGATTATCTGAATAATTTAGGAGCTATCATATTAAATTTGTGCCAGGGATACTACATCCCTGCTTGAGCGTTGTATCCATTTTTTAATTATTTTTTTTGCAAGACTTCGCTGTCATATCATGTTGCATGACAGGATTTTCAGGATCTACAAATACATACACAGACACTTGGGGTGTGGAGCTCAAAAACATTTAAAATTACAAATAAAATGTATATTTTTCAATCCTAGCACATGTACTTGTCAAATATAATACATATTTATAGAAACTTAATATAAGCAGGTTTGAAAAAGAAAAAGAAAAAGAAAACAACCAACAACAACATATATCAACGTCTATAATCTATTACATGTCTATTTATTATAGACGTTAAATACGAATTTTTCAAAACAGCTTATATGATAAGTACATGTGCTGAGATTGACAAAAATATTTTTTATTTGGATTCTAAATGTCTGTTTTTTTGTTTGTTTTTTGTTGTTTTTTTTGCTTGAAAGGGAAATAATCCATCACTATATAAGAGTTTGCTCCCTTTATGGCAACCTGTGAACCATCATTCTCGTAAATACTTTTAAGATAACAAATAAGAGTATTAAGAAATCAAGTTACGTTTTTCAGTTTTATTTATTTTAAACAAGTTCATATGTTTACAACAAAGAATAATCATAATCATCGCAGAACACATAAAAACCTGGTAGACAACTCTTGAGATTATCTCAGAAATTAAACATATAGATAGTTCAAAAATATATTTTTAGGTACATAAAATGTGATCAGGAAAGTAAACTTGTTCTGTACCCTAGATGTTTTTCGTTGCTATAACCATAGTTATATTATGTTTTTCATATATTTTCATGCAGCTGTGAGAAGAAAAAAGTACATGTATGAAATAGTTAACATAGTACATGTTTGAAATAGTTAACATAGTACATGTTTGAAATAGTTAACATAGTACATGTTTGAAATAGTTAACATAGTACATGTTTGAAATAGTTAACATAGTACATGTTTGAAATAGTTAACATAGTACATGTTTGAAATAGTTAACATAGTACATGTTTGAAATAGTTAACATAGTACATGTTTGAAATAGTTAACATAGTACATGTTTGAAATAGTTAACAT